AAGCCTTCTTCAGAGCCATCAAATCTGACACGGAGCTGCAAGCAAAGTACATGAGATCTCCATCCAAAGCTGATGCCCAACGTATTACTGAGCTCCATCACCGCAAGCATGGCGTACCTGGTATGCTGTGCAGCATTGACTGCTTGCATGTATTCTGGAAGAACTGTCCAGTTGCATGGCAGGGGCAGTTTCGGAATGGCAAGAACAAGCATTCCTCCATCGTGGTTGAAGCCGCGGTTGATTACAACACATGGGTTTGGTCCTGTTCCATCGGTCATGCTGGAACTCAGAGTGACATCAATATTTGGGACCATTCTCCACTTCATCGGTTGTTTCTGTCGCAGGAGTTTATGGAGAAGGTTGATTTCGAATTCGAGTTGGATGGTGAGAAATTCCACAAGCTTTGGTGTTTGGTGGATGGAATTTACCCTGCCATTGCTCGCTTCGTGAAGACCATCAGCTACCCTATCGGTCACGCCGCAAAGATGTTTGTGGAGTGGCAGGAGTCTGCAAGAAAGGACTCAGAGAGGACATTCGGCATAGTGGTTCGTAAGTTTCAGATACTTGCACGACCAATTGAATATTGGGACTTGGAAGATGTCAAGCGAATTACATATGGCTGCTTCGTGATGCACAACATGATGGTTGAACGGCGGATCAATAGCAACCAGGCAGAAGATGCTGGCATGTACCACGTAGTTGTCGACAATGACCGCCAAACCATCACAGCTGAGGAGAGAGAGGAAGACTTGGATTCTTTCGTGGAGGGTGCAAGAGGTTTCGCTCCAAGAAGAGAGGGCGTTGAATACCAGATCAGCAAGGCTGTGGAGCGATGGGGCGATCTCAACAGTGATGCCCAGCATGTTCGATTGCAGAAGGCAATCATCAACCAAATCGCAACGAACTATATCAGCCACAAGAAGAAGAACACTCCATCGCCATTGTGAGGAGGTGAGTTTCCGAGTTCAAGCAGGATTGATTGAATGACTTTCGAAATTTGTGTAGACAGCTACAGCATTTTGTACTGGACGACAGGCGACAAGTCACGCTGCACTAAGTATTGGCAACTGACTGAACCCAAACCACAGGCGACAAGCTGACTGGCTCATCACACTGACTGACTATTCAGTCGATAGATAGCACTATAAACGCAGTTTGCCTGTAAACCATGACACTATTGTTTGTTTTATTCCGATACGATGTACCATTCACAATGACGTTTTACATGGCCGTCATAGTTGGATGCAACAGCATAGCAGCAACGCAGCAACATCATAGCTCTGTGCAAGATCACCCAACTGTCCAAAACAAGAACGCTCAAGAGACTCCAAGAGACTCCACTCTTCGTTATCAAACTTCTTCTTTCTTGGTTGCCAAACTATTCTTCGTCATCGCTGCTGCTGGTACCACCGCTCTTGGCCTGGACCTTCTTCAACCCGTCCAATTCCAACTGCAACTTGAGAATACGGCGCTGCTGCAAGAGTTTCTTTTCCATGGCGTCATTCTTGAAGTACTCTTCCTTGTCATTTTCGGACCATTGAGACACCGCGACCTGATCAACAAGGTGAGTAGAGATTTGACCGATGGCTTCGCTAACGGACGCTGCCTCTTGCACAGCCCTGGTCCCAGCTGGGTTGTTATTGCCAAGGCCTTTGTTGTCAAGCATTCGCTGGATCCGGTCATCCAAAGCTTTCTGCCTCTTTCCTTGAGAACGTTTGTGCTTCTTTCCTTTCTTACCGTTTGCCTTGGTCTTTCCACTATCATCAGCGGCGGAGAACTTGGGACAATTTTCCAACACGTGATAGCAATCAATCCAAGGGAACTTGGTGTTGTGTGTCTCTTCAAAGATCTCAAGGCATCTGGTTTCGTGCTGTTCGATGGTTTCTCCAGATTTGATGGGATGCATCTTCATGATGCCGATCATCTTGTTGACACCGTGCTTGATGGTTGAGAAGCGAGACACAATGCTCTTCTGCTTTCGATCCATTGGGAGTTCTGGATGGGTCACTTCGTTGGTCTCCTCAACCAAGTCTTGATAGTTGGAGTACAGCTTCTTGTTGAAATCTGCTTGGCGCTGATCACTACCATTGTGCGAGTCCATGGTGGTGGATACCCAAGCCTTGGAGAGCAACTCGTCCTCCTCTGGTGTGAAGTTCTTTCCACGCTTCTGCCTTTCCTTTGAGACGGCACCATTGAGCAACTGCGACACTTCCTCTACACGAGCTGCCGCCTGAGAACGGTGGGTTGCACGCTGGGTTGGCACTTCAACCTCGTCTTCTTCTTCTTCTTCGAGAACCTCCTCTTCTTTTTCATCCTCTTGATTGTCCACCTGAGTAG